CGACATATACATGCTTTGATGCGGTTGAACCGGTTCTTGAACCAAACCCATTATGACCAAGTCTTAGACTTTAGATTTTTTGTTGAATAAAGGGAAGAATTAACCTTCTCCACTATTTGAACGGTTCCACTTCTATTTATTCCTTGTATTTAGGCTTAGATTTAATTACGTGATTTTGTAATTACTTTTCTATTTAAGACATAAAGAATAATGAATACGCAGATAATTGTTTTGTCAAAAGACATTGTTGTCGACCTTTACTCTGATTGGGATCTATCATGCTTGCTTTCGGGAGAAACGCGAATCTACGATAGCATTTTCATATGATTACATATATAGATTATACATACAAAGAAACATATAAACCCAGTCAATATCACAACACCTTATTCAACATCGGAATGTAGATATATATATATATATATATACTCGAAAAGATATATGATGCTTTGCTTTTGTCTCATGCACGTGTTCATTTCTTTCTTTCGAAGGTGACGACGACGAGGGTACAAAGGAACATTATCGGAGGCCGACAAAGGAAAGAATGAAGTTAGAAGATTGGGAAACGTGGCGAATAACAAAATCAAATCTCTAACGTTATTTATTTATATATGCATATATATATATTGATAGACATAGGTTATATGATAAATGGTGATAATATATTGTATATACATATAAAGTATATATGGATATTATTCGAGGAAGTAAAGGGCAATGGAAGCCAGGTGAGATCGCTCTATATCTGTCCTTGTTCTCGCAAACTGTCAGCTTTAAGATAGAGACTCACTTACACAGACATGTTCATCCAATCCCATTCTCACATCTCACACTATCCTTCACTCGTCATCTCCACCTCCCGCATCTCTTTATTTCCTCGCATATATATATATATATATATATATATACTGTTCATCCATATAAAGCGTCCATGCATTCGTATTAAATTAAGATTCCTAAAAGTTATATTTGTATCGTTTTTATTTTTAGATTTCGACGCCTTCTTCGCTCAAATTAATATGCAGTCCAATTTACCATGACAATTACTTGTATATAGTTCGAATTCACTGGTTCTTAATCATACTGCAAAAATTTATGACATAATCATTCGTCGGTCGGTCAAATATTCATATATTATCAAAAACTGAAAATATTCACGAATTATATGCCGCATAATCAAAGAATAGAATAAAAAAATTCTCATGTGTATCACGAGATTCTTTGGGGAAAAAAATATTCTTCAACTGTTTCTATATATTTTCTTTTATCTTTAATGATTCGAACCTAGGAGACTAAAAGCATGAGAAGATGCATGGGTTTAAAAAGTTATCTAGATTTGTGAATTAATGGTATAATTTTCATGATATTTCTGAATTTCATCAACTCTATTTTCTTTAATTCATTGAGATTAATAATTAATCATTGAATTATGAATCACAATAAAAGAAAAATATATATCAAACTATACTTCAATTATATAAAAATATCTTCAACTCCCTTTAATATTGGTTTATTTAGAAAATATAGTAAGCTTTATAATTATTATCTTTATGAAAATAACGAAAACATCTTTTTTATGACCGGGTAAAATTGAAGAAACCACAAGAAAAATAAATACGCCAGATATAGAGAGGGAGAGACGGAAGAAAGAGAGGAGCGCACATGGGTGTGATGCTGACGTGGCAGCTTCCCACGCGTTCGGTAGAGATGACCACCTCTCTCATTCGTCCACGTGTCCTGGGTGACTTGGTTCATTGCACCCTGACCTCCCCCCTCCCGAGCAATCATAGTTTCTCCTTTTTAACCCTTTTTCTTCTTCGCGTCTTCATTCTTATCCCTAACCCTTGCCACCATATTTTAACCCTTCACATTTAAATTTACCTATATAATATATTGTTTTTCCTTACATTTCTTAGTCTAAACATGGTCCAGTTTTCGCTTTGTAACCATGGTCATGTTAGTTATATATATATATGTATATACGTGTGTGTTTCCCATCGAGGTTATACCGCATGCCGAATTTCGTTATTCCACGAGGTGTTTGTCTGAATATGTATTGCATGGATTACCATCGTTAAAGCCTAAAGGACGTAGAGTGTGTAATATAGCCTTCTAAAAATTGTATGGATTAATTTGGCTAGTGTCCCACAATCTTAAGAGACTACTAAACAATTACTAGTGACACGCAAATAATTAAACGTATTATCTTATTTTCTTTGGTAAAAAAACGAATCATATAATAACCTATTCTCATAGAAAATATATGATAATATGAACTTGTTTTCTGTTTTTATCAAAAAAAAAAACTTGTTTTCTGTTTGTGTGTTAATATGATATATAAACACGAACTTTGCATGGGAAAATGAAAAAGCATAACGTCCGTGACGATATTGACGACCTTTTTTTTTATAATCCGGAAGTTCACCGTACCTTTGGTTCGACTACATATCCCAGAGAACCAGAGAAGCCCAGGTGAATACCCCTCCCCACACTTGGGTTTGAACCCACGGTGAAAGCATGCTTTACATGTTCTCTACCACTAGATCACCAAAGTTTGGGTTCATATTGACGACCTTCTTATCTAATTAACGATGATTTCTTCATATGCCAAAATCAAGGGTCAAAAGCGAATGAAGTGGTAATCAAATCGCTTTGTATTGGAATTTCATGAAATCACATTATATGTCTTTGCCGGTTCCTTAATCGGGAACTGAGACGAGACCAAGGAAGCATGCATGTGAGGTCGATGTTTTGTCCAAATAGGGTAAATCCCATCCGACACGTGGCTTTTTTCCCATCAGCCTCTTTTGGACCCTCTTTATCTCTATATGAAGTGGGAAAAAATACAAAGAGGAAGACAGAATATGTGGTCACACTACTCCGCACACTTTCAAATCAGCCACTTGTTGGTTTTACACACACACACACACAAAGTTTCATATTTTGATTTTAATCCCTGGGGTTACGACTTAATTGGAGGCAGTATCAAGGAAATTTTATTTCTCTAATCAAATCCACATATGCATGGATTATACGTATAGATTTTTATATAATGGTTTCTGGTACGTGAAGCCATAACGTATGGTTTTGCCAACTAAACACGTAGAAGCAATGGACCGTCTTGATGCTCATAATGCATGGTAGCGATTCAACACAGTGGCGTAGACATGCAGCGATGACGTTGAAGTGCCGTAACGTGATTGACACTAATATATATATATATATATATAATATTTGTGAGATTTGGTTATTCAAAATTTAAATTGTATTTCATACGAATAGACAAAAAAAAATCTAATTTTTTTTTTTATAATAGCATGAAATATTCGGACCAGCTACGCCTATCTAAATATTTTCTGTTTAATAACGTTTTAAAGATTCCACTACTTGATTATGACATTAATAAACGTGGAAATAACATTGTATTTCTCTACATCTATATATCGATTCAGACACACATTTTAAAAAAATATTATGTACTCTCTCCCCTTTCATTTCCGTTCCCTCTTCCAAACTCCAACCTGTCACTGTGGTTTCTTCTTTCGCATTCCAAATCACGATTTAGAGCTTTAAGCACATGGCTAGCAGCGGTGTTAATCTTGTCATTATCACATTAATCTCAATATAAATTTCCACAAACAGGAATGGGAAACGTGGCGTGAAGGGTGCGTGGCCAAGTGTCCGGTTTAGGTAAGGATTCTCTCAGCGACCAGCTTTGTTGTTTCTAGATTGCTCTTGGGTTTTGTCCTAGATCGGTAGGCAGTGGTTTATGTGGGGTTTTATAAAAATACCCTATTATGCTACAAAGACTTCATAACATACTTCTGCAAAAAAAAAACTACTTCAAAATATACTTTTATAATTATGTTATTCCCAAAATACCCATTAGTGTGGGTCCCAATGACAGAAACATTAATGAGGAGACAGACAGAGAAAAACAGTTTTCGATTTCCTAGGAAAAAATTTAAATATTTTAAAATTTTTAAAACTCCATCCATCACAAAAAATAAATATTTTCGCGTGAATTTTAAAAATTTTCGGTGTGACCAGTGTGACTAGTGTGACCAAGTGACTAGTATGACCTTTTAAAACTCCCATCCATCACAAAAAATAAATATTTTCGCGTGAATTTTAAAAATTTTCGGTGTGACCAGTGTGACTAGTGTGACCAAGTGACTAGTATGACCAGTGTGACCAATATGACTAGTATGACCAAAACTAAAATTTGAACGGTGTGACCAGTGTGACCAATGTGACTAGTGTGACCAATGTGACTAGTGTGACCAGTATGACCAATGTGACTAGTGTGACCAAAACTAAATTTTGAACGGTGTGACCAAGGTGACTAGTGTGACCAGTGTGACCAAAAATAAATTTTAAACGGTGTAACTAATATGACGTACCTTTGTTTTCGTTGTCAATCCGTTCCATTATCGCTCCGAATATTGATTTGAAATTAAATATACACCTCTTGCATATTCTTCGACAGATTTGCTATACATCTATCTCATTTTCATAAAAAAAAACCACACGATTCACTCTAACAATCATAAAACTCAAACTCAAAACACAAAGTTTATGCATCGAACCAATCTCTTGTATTAATGAACTTACCTTCAGTTCTTGTCATTTGTTTTGTCTTAGACCGACTCAAGAAGAAGATATGAGGTCGTCGGTGAAGATATGTTCAACGAAATAACCATTTTTCGTTTGTTTTTCTATGTATAAAAATGAAATGAGAAAGGAGAAAATGGAAGAGTTGAGAGAAAAATAAGAGTGGAGAGAGAAAGTTAAGAAAGAAATGAAGAGTTGTCAAAGAATGAAAACGAGAGAGATGAATTCAAAATGAAGAGAGGAGTATCACGTTACTTTTGTGAGAGGGTTAATTATGTCTTTTGTTCTTTTTATTCTTTTTTCCAAAATTTTAGGGTTTCGAAGGGTATACTATGAAGTCTTTATAGCAAAGTAAAGGTATTTTTGTTATATTGACGGTTTATGTATTGAACATTAACTTTAGAAATATTATAATTTTGGTTATTTTAGAAACCCTTTATTATATAATTTATTGTCAATTATAATTTTTTAAATCTTATTACTATTTCTGTTCTCGCAGCTTTAGAGGCGATTCATGGTGGTCCAAGGCATACATGGCACAACAGAGAAGCGTGGGATTAATAAATTAATATGTTTTTAATCAATCGATGGACCACCATATTAAAAGAAATAATTTTAGCGCTATAAATTGATTGGTGCGAATATCAAAGTACTCTACTTATTTTATTTCCTTTTGTTTTTTTTTTCTGGTCATAAACCAATGAGTAAGTTCCATGTTAGCTTGAATGTAATGACCAAATCTAATTTGCTCGATTCATTATTTTAAAATAAGGTGTGTGTATATATATATATATATATGATGTAATATTGCGAGTACACGCGCTTACAATTAATTGATTGGATATGTACATGGGCCAATTTATTTCCCAGTACCATGAATCGGTTATCATCAAGGATATAATGGGCCTTAAACAGGCTATTGAACCAATATTTGAGAAGCCCATTAATTGGGCTTCCAGGAATAACCAAAGCCCAATACTATGAATACGGCGCCGTTTAGTGGACGTTGACCGTGATCGATCGTCGTTCAAAAGGCACCCCCGAAGCTACTAACCGGATTAGATAAAGATCCGCTCATAAACCTTCACTAACCCCGATTTAATTGGAGATCAGTATCGTTATTAATTTAATTAATCAAGTGTTTTATCAGGCGATCCAATTGTATTGTGTCCTTTGTGGAATTCGGGTAAATCCTCGATGGGGAAAGGAGGCGGATGCGTTCCAAGCAAGAAGAAGAAGCCGCCGTCTCTTCCCCCCGGAGATGGCCCCGCCGCCACCGATGTCGGTGGAGCTGCGCCGATCCCGATCGAGGATGATCGGACAACTGGAGATGGCGAACATACGGCGACGACAACCAGCGCAGGGACAACGCCGGCGATTGCGGCCAGGATCCCGGTGAGGATCTTCATCGTCTTCTACTCCATGTACGGGCACGTAGAGAGCTTGGCGAGGAGGATGAAGAAGGGCGTCGATGGCGTCGATGGGGTGGAGGCGACGCTGTACAGGGTGCCGGAGACGCTGCCGAGGGAGGTTCTGGAGCAAATGAAGGCGCCGCCAAAGGATCCGGAGATCCCGGAGATCACGGCGGCGGATCTGGCGGCGGCGGACGGATTTCTATTTGGTTTTCCGACTAGGTATGGGTGTATGGCTGCGCAGATGAAGGCTTTCTTCGATTCGACGGGGCAGTTATGGAGGGAGCAGACGCTCGCCGGAAAACCTGCCGGGTTCTTCGTGAGTACGGGGACGCAGGGCGGGGGCCAGGAGACCACCGCGTAAGCTTCCTATACCGCACCTTAATGTCGTTGTATTTGTTGTATACTACTTGTGAAGCTGAAGTGGGTAGAATTTGGGGGAAATTGGTTCATCGGAGTAGATTATATATTGGATGTGAAAGTGAATGACCCTATGCAAGTTTCTTGGGCCAGAAGACAGTGATTTGTTGATTTAGTTGGTAAGTAGAGCTCAACTTCGAGGTTTAACACTTCAATCTGTAGGTTATTGTGGAGACTGACTGGCGTTTAGATTCAGGGAGAAATTTCTATAGCTTAAAGTCTAATCTGAGAATTTGTCGTCATTGTATATTCAGTGAAAACATCCAGGGATAATAAACTTCATGCCGAACGCCATAGATGAAACATAACCGGCATTCCGTTGTTGCTTATTAGACAGTTCATTTCTATGGATTCTCAGTATAGTGTATTAAGGGGCAAAGATTTACTGAAAAATGTAAAGTGATCTCCTATGGGATTCAATTCTCGTACCATTCTTTTGGGTGGAATAGATTCTAAGTACCTTGACTTCTCTTAACATCTGCTTGCATATGTTCTCCTCTTTCTTACGAAAGAAACTTGTATGACAAATATTACTCAGAACATTCTCTAAGGAGGTTCCTAGCCTCCTTTTTCGAGGAATGCATTATGCATCTAGTTACAGTTACATAATTGGATTCTTCTCCATGCCCTCTAGCTAGTTTTTTTCACTTTGGTTGTGCAGTAACTTGTTATCAACATTTTTCTCAGTCGCCCTTATATTACTCTGCCTCGTTGTCTACCATGCAAGTTTGTTCAATCTGTGAATCTGGTGAGGCCTCAGGTAGTGCCATAAAAAACAATGCATAATTGAATTTGGCATCACACCTCAAATAGGTCGTGTGATATATATGCTTCTTTGTTACAAACTTTGGTTGGTGGTCCGGGACGTGTCTAGAATTTGGTCCTTTTTCCTGGCATCATTATGCATGCAGATGCATTCAAAACTCATTATCATTTTATCCGCTGACATGTACATACACATATATATATGTAGAGGGTCATTGTTGATATCATGTCATTGGTTGCAGTTGGACAGCAATCACACAGCTCGCACACCATGGAATGCTATTTGTCCCCATAGGGTACACCTTTGGGGCCGGAATGTTCAAGATGGATTCAATCCGAGGAGGCTCTCCATATGGAGCTGGCGTCTATGCCGGTGATGGGACCAGACAGCCTACCGAAACAGAGCTTGCTCTCGCAGAACATCAAGGAAAATACATGGCTGCCGTGGTCAAAAGACTTTCACAGTCTGAAACCTCGGGTTCTCTCGCTTAATAATTTGTGATCTCGTTACATTAGTTCAATGGAAAAATGCATTGTTTTGGGTGTTTACTGTGTCAGCAATCTCGGTCCGGACAAGCCTGCATCTTTGAGACGTTCCAAAAATTGAAAGTTCAAATCAAAGGGTTCCTTCTTACTTCTTGATGGGAGCCGAAGATGCGGAAGTACGGATAGGAGCCGGTGGGTTGTGTACATGAGCTTATTGAGTTCTCTTCATCTGTGGTTTTGGTTTTTGGTCTTGTACAAATTTGGTTTTGGCACGTTATTGGAGTGGATTCAATGTTATTTGAAGCCAAATTTATTGCATTTTAATTGATTGAATTAACAAATCCTTAGAATATGGTGGACCAACCCATGTTTTCCCATGACGTACTTACTCTATTTTCATAATTCTACGTAACTTGGATTTAATTAATTGAATTATTTATTATTCACACAACAATAAATGCTTTGGTCTGACGAAGTTTCTTTCTGTTTTCATTTTTTTTTTGGCGTGTCAATGGATAATCTACATGTAACGGAAAATCTTATCCTTGGTTTATCTTATTGGGAAAAAAAATCTTTTTATTCGTTAAAAACGGGGGGTTCTCAGTGTCGCCGAGGAAATAGGGGGTCTTAAGTGGAAGAAACAGAAAATATAGGGGCTAAAAATAGACGAAATGTTGTGTCGAGACTTCTTTCTTAGGAAAGACAACCAATTCTGCAGCTGTAAACTTGGAGTCCGATCACTCCATCCTTTCTTCCGTCTTCTCCTCAAAATTCTGTCTGCGTTCTCTGAGAGAAGGCAAAAGACGAAGAAAGACAACCTTGTTGAACACAAGCTTCCATGTCGGAGGTTCTCGCTTCCTTGAGGTCTCTCATGGCCTCTCACTCCCCTCCTCTCGACGCCTTGGTCGTCCCTTCCGAGGACTATCACCAGGTTTGTCACCTCCCACCTTTTGATTTCATTGTTGTGGATGTCGCTATGAACATTGATTTCTCCTCCGATTTCTGTTTTCGCCCTCGTCCTTCGTTTTTCGGTCGCCCCAATTGATGTCACCTTCGTAGATCTAAGAAATTCTTGATCGACTTTGGTCACGTGATCGTGTTTCCTTCTGTCGCTTCTGGTGCAGAGCGAGTATGTTTCTGCTCGAGATAAGAGGCGGGAGTTCGTGTCGGGATTCACTGGAAGTGCAGGTCCGGTTTCTGTAATTTTGAGTATTATCATAATATTTGCGTCCGAATGAATTTTCGTAAATTGGGAATTCCTGTTTAGGTTTGGCGCTTATTACGAAGAACGAAGCATTGCTGTGGACCGATGGACGCTACTTCTTGCAAGCAACGGAACAGCTCAGCGATGAGTGGAGGCTTATGCGAATGGGAGAGGATCCTGTTGTTGAAGCTTGGATGGCAGATGTGGGTCATTGCTCCTATTTATGATCATGCTGCTTTATGATTCACACAACTTGATTGTAATCCGAATTCATTCATGGCTGTTTGATTTCTTTGTGTAGCATCTGCCCTGCGAAGCAAGCGTTGGTGTTGATCCCTGGTGTGTTTCGGTGGACACTGCGAAGAAATGGGAGCAAGCATTTTGCAAAAGGAAACAGAAGCTGATCCCGACTTCCACCGATTTGGTAGACCAAGTGTGGAATGATCGTCCACCTGCGGAGATAAACCCACTTGTTCGTCACCCCATTGAATTTACTGGCCTTTCTGTTGTGGAGAAGTTGAAGGAATTGAGGGTCAAGATCCAATCGAAAAAGGCCCGTGCTCTGATCATCACTGCCCTTGATGAGGTATTTCTTGTATTTTCCTGTCTGTTGTATAACTTGAAGCTTCAGATGTTCTCAGTGGATGAATCGTACCAATGCTTTGCTACTGTGCAGGTTGCTTGGTTGTACAATATCCGTGGAACTGATGTGGCCTATTGTCCTGTTGTTCATGCGTTTGCCATAGTTACTTTTGACTCCACGTTCCTTTACGTGGATAAAAAGAAATTATCCGATGAGGTTGGTGTTCATTTTGTTTTGGGATCTGATGCATTATGCTGCTGTCTATGGAATTCTATGTTGTTAGGTGATATCCTTTTCCAACTTCTACATTTATTTCTCCCTTATGGTTCTTCTACCAATGGCAATTCTTACGGCCCATTGTTTCCTTGTTTTCTTCGTGTATTTGGCCAATCATGCGTTTCCGACATGATTGTCACATATTTACCAATTGATTTCAGTTCTACTGAAGTTTGTTCAATGGCTTCAAATTTTCTGTGCAGGCAAATGCATACTTACAAGCACTTAAAATTGAAGTTCGGGAGTATTCAGATGTCATCTCAGATGTCGGCTTGCTTGCTGCCAATCAACTTGGATCATCATTTGGAAAGGATCCAGGGTTCTACAATGAATTTGAAAATGGTGAACCTAACAAAGTTGAACGGATATGGGTGGACCCTGCTTCGTGCTGCTTTGCTCTTTATTCCAAATTGGACCCTGATTTGGTCCTTTTGCAACCATCTCCCATATCCCTTGCAAAATCCCTGAAGGTGATTTTCTTTGGAAATGGGTTTACTTCATACTTTTTTTACTGTGTAGGCTGCCTTATTTACTGCCTCATTTTCCCTATTCTAGAACCCTGTTGAACTGGAAGGGCTTAAGAAGGCGCATATTCGGGATGGTGCAGCTGTTGTTCAGTTTCTTGCTTGGTTGGATAAGCAGGTGCAGAATAGAATGAAACATATCGTTCACAAATTTTGAAACAGTGCAATGCTTGAGTACTATTTTGTGTGCTTGTGTCTGGTTTTATGTAACCTGCGAGTTAAGTTTCCGAAGCATGTAATATAATCACAGATGCAAGACCTGTATGGGGCTTCTGGATACTTCTTGGAAGGAGAGGCAAAGAAAAACATACCTTTGTAAGTTTTTTCCTTCTTTTTTGTCTTCTGTTTTCTTTTTATATTCATTCAAGATATTTTGATACATGATTTTCACAATTCTAGGTGAAGTAAATTTTGTTTGACTTTTAATTCCTCTGTTGTATTTGTGAAATAACCTAGGGGAACCGAAAAGCTAACTGAAGTGTCTGTGAGTGATAAGCTTGAAAGTTTCCGAGCCTCAAAAGAGGTAGTGTTACTTATCATATATTACATGTTTCTACTTTCTAGTTGAAGAGGGAAGTTACCTTCAGTAATACTATCGACATCCATGTTGATATTCTTTTTTTTTTTTTTTGTGATTTCAGCATTTCAGAGGTTTAAGTTTTCCAACTATTTCATCAGTTGGTCAAAATGCCGCAATTATCCATTATTCACCGGAGCCAGAAACATGTGCCGAGTTAGACCCCAACAAAATTTACTTGTGTGATTCAGGAGCCCAGGTTTGTCAAACAGCTAAACCATATAAGAAGCTAGTCCTAACACTGAGTTTGTACTCTGAATTCTGAAATAGTATTATTGTTGGTTTTGTCTGAAGTATCTCGACGGAACAACTGATATCACCCGAACTGTTCACTTTGGGAAGCCTTCAGCTCATGAGAAAGATTGCTACACTGCTGTATGTGTGCTTTTCAATGAGAGTTTATACAATTATGTGGAGATTTACTTGGAAATTGTACCTGCAATTCTAACATTTTTTTATCATTTTTCTCCGATATGTTCAATTGACATCTAGGTCCTGAAGGGTCATGTTGGACTTGGAAATGCTCGGTTTCCAAAGGGCACAAACGGTATACTCTACCTCATTTCTTTCTTTCTTTTTTTCGGGTACCTAAAAAAACATGGTCCGAGTTATCTTGTTAGATTGAATGTCCATAATAATCCATAGGTTATACACTTGATATACTTGCTCGAGTTAATTTGTGGGACTGCGGCCTTGATTATCGACATGGAACTGGTCATGGGGTCGGCTCCTACCTATTTGTTCATGAAGGCAAGTCGCTAGAAACATCATGAATATTTGTACGAGCGCTGTATTTTTAATTCCGACAGTCAGTAAGATTCATCAATATGGTTATACAGGTCCACAACAGATCAGTTTCAGACCAAGTGCTAGGAACGTACCTCTCCAAGCTTCCATGACTGTAACAGACGGTCTGTTTGTGCTGACATTGTTCCATATGGATCCTTCTTCGCTTAGCCTATATATATACTATTAGGGCAAAGTACTGAATGTCTGATTAAATATCATACGCTATATTTATTACAGAACCGGGTTACTACGAGGATGGGAACTTTGGAGTGAGGTTGGAGAATGTTCTTGTTGTCAAAGATGCTGAAACCAAATTCAATTTTGGGGACAAGGGCTACTTGGAATTCGAGCATATCACTTGGGTAATCTGTCTTTTCAGACATTTTCATGTTTTTTTCCTTCGTTCGGGGCGTATCATACGAAAATGCATTTCTCTGAGTAATTCTCGCTCTTGGGTTTTGGCAGGCACCGTATCAGGTGAAGCTGATCAACCTAAACAAGTTGACAGGGGAAGAGATTGGTTGGCTGAACGCATACCATTCAAAATGCAGGGAGGTATTGGCTCCGTTGATGAACCAAACCGAAATGGAATGGCTCATGAAAGCTACGGAACCTGTAAGTGCTTGATGACCTTTCCAATCGCACGCTTATTCTCTGTTATATCTAAACTCAAGCACATCCACATAAAACAGACCCCTCCCTCATGTATTCTGAAATAATAAAAGAAGAAGAAAGAAGCGTATTGGCACATTGCTTGTTCAACATTATTTCTCCTCTCTTTTTATCAACGGTCTTGTCTTGCCGCTTATTCTTTCCTCGTCTTCTCCTGTCCTCCTTTCGTATTCCGTTTTGTCTCTCTCGTCTAACCTTTTTCCGGGTACATTGACGTTGCTCACAGCGGCTGGGTCAGTTATCCTCACTGACTGAGTAAACCGCGGGCTATCAAAGGATTGATACGAGTTCAACCGTTGATTCTTTATCTCGAAATCTAACATATTCAGATTCAAAATCAGATATCACTAAAATCTTGGATGCCGACCTGTATCCAATGTCCATGTTAGGACAACCAACCCGGTCTTCTCGGTCGTGTCTAGGAACCCGTCAGGTAAGAAATCCAACGTTGCCGTGCCGTTATTTTCCGCGTTGTTGAACATTGACGACACCGATGGATCGTCCTCGTGATGCCACTATAAATTGATGGTGGTACGATTTCGTGCGATGTGACACATTGACGTCATGTAAGAAACCCAATTGGTAGGGGTATGACAGAAACAAAACACGAAGTTTTTATCTTTTCGCTCTTCTCTTCTTTTTTTTTTTATTTGTGTCATTGATGGTATCATCTGCTGTTAGAAATCTAAATAATTTGAACAACTCCGACAAATGAAACTAGCACGTGCTGGTTTCTGAGAGAGAATTATGGCCACTCATTTGGATTATATCCTGCGACATGGGGGTTGTGTATTGTGTTCTATATGTACAACATAACACACGCAGATCTTCACTCTTCTTGACACTTCCTCGCACGACGATGGGTACGCACTCAAAACCTCACGCGCTTCTACTCGCCAGGCCCGGCATGGGACACGTCATCCCCGTCCTCGAACTCGCCCATCGTCTCTCCTCCTCCCTTCACTTCCGAGTCACTGTCTTCCTTGGACCCTTCGGCCGCGCCATGTCGTCAGCCGAGTCCCACACCGCACGGGCCGCCATGGCGCGCGGCTCATTCGACGTCCGGGAGCTGCCCCCGGTCGACGTAACCTCCCTAGTCGAACCAGACGCAGCTGCCGTCACGAAGCTCACCGTCACGATGCGCGAGATGAGACCTGCGGTTCTGGCCACCGCCCTGGGGATGAGGCCCAAACCGACGGTCTTGATCGTCGATCTATTTGGCACGGAGGTTTTGTCCATAGCCGAAGAGATTGGTGTCGCGGCAAAGTACGTATTCGTTGCGTCGCACGCGTTGTTCTTGGCGCTGAAGGTGTATTTGCCGGTTCTGGACAAGCTGGTTGAAGGAGAGTACACTGAACAGAAGGAGCCCATGAAGATACCTGGCTGCAGACCGGTTCGACCGGATGAGTTGATCGACCCGATGCTGGATCGGTCGAACCGGCAGTACCAGGAGTGTGTACGTGTCAGTCTGGAGATACCAACAAGCGATGGCGTTTTTATTTTTATTTTAAAAAAAAACAAGCGATGGCGTTCTGACGTTCTCGTAAACACATGGGGGGGGGGGGGGG